TCCTTCCTTCCTTCCTTCCTTCCTTCCTTCCTTCCTTCCTTCCTTCCTTCCTTCCTTCCTTCCTTCCTTTTTCTTAAATGTTTTTTTTGAGTGTGAATGCAGATACATGTTTAGCGCAGTGGGAGTGTGGAGGTCAGAGGACAACTTTTCATGATTCCTCTCTTCGCTTCCACCATGTGGCTTCCAGGGATTAAGGTTTGGCGGCAGACATCTTTACCTATTGAGCCATCTCCCAACCACCATTTTTGTCTGGGTCTTATGTAGCCCAGGCTGGCCTTAAACTTGCTATGTAGCAAAAGATGATCTTAATCTCTCTTTCTCTTTCTTTCTGTGGGTGTTTTGAGACAGGGTTTCACTGTGTAGCCCTGGCTGTCCTGGTACTCACTCTGTAGACCAGGCTGGCCTCAAATTCAAAACATCTGCCTGCCTCTTCTGACTCCTGAGCAGTGGGATTAAAGGTGTGAGTGGCCAGCAACTCACTTTTTTTAAAATTATTGCTATTTTTATTTAAGTGTATGTCTGCACATGCATGTGCCAGAAGAGGGTAATGGTTCGGTCCCCTGCAGCTGCGGTTTATAGGCGGGTGTGAGCTGCCCGATGAGAGTTCTGGGAACTGAACTGTGCCCTTTGGAAGAGCCACAAGCACTCTTAACCACAGAGCCATCTCTGCAGCCCCAATCTTAAACTCTTGATCCTCCTGCCTCTAACTCTTAGGAGCCAGGATCACAGGCATACACCACTACACCTGACTTAGGTGGTGGTAGGAGTGGAACTCAGGGCTTCACACACACTGGCAAACACTGTCTGACTGCATCACCTGCCCAGCCCCTTTCCGCACAGTTCTTTTTCTCTTCTAGGAAGAAAATTCTTCCCAGGATGGTCTCGCACTCAGAGTTGAGGAAGCTCTTCTGCTCAGCAGATGCAGTGTGCTTTGATGTCGACAGCACAGTCATCAGGGAAGAAGGAATCGATGAGCTGGCCAAATTCTGTGGTGTGGAGGCTGCCGTGTCTGAAATGTACGAACGGTCTATATTCCCTTTATGAGATGGGAACGAATTCACCCTGTTAAAAAGAAGAATGACTGATGAGAGGCTAGGTTAGGGTCTCAGTCCCTTGGCTTTGTTTCTGTCCAGCACTAAGACAAAGCACCAGGTGTTTCCTTTCATTGTCCAGAACTGAATTTGCTGGAGTGCTGTCTTCATTTATCCGTCTGCAAACATTGCAGCAGGAACAAAGAAAGCAAAACAGTTGTCTCTGCAGACAAGACACATTCTTAGGCAGGCTGGGAAAATGATTAATCCAAGAAGATAGCCCAGGGCTCTAAACATTCAGGGCTTCCCGAAATGGTTGAAAGTACAGTGCTTGCTGCTTCAGTGGAAAAGAGATCCCACGTCAGAACCTTCCTTCCCTTCCCTCTGCCCTCCACACTCTGCAGCAGTGACATCTTCCTGGTCTATGGCTGTTGCTCACTCAGCTGCGTTTGAAACAGGGGCTTTCAGCCTTCATTTCCTTTCTCCGTCATAAACGTTCACGGGTGGGGCACAGTGGCTTACGCCTGTAATCCCAGCACTCAGGGGGGCAGAGATAGGTAGATCTGTGTGAGTTCAAGGCCAGCCTGGTCTACAAATCAAGTCCAAGGCTACACAGTGAAACCCTGTCTCAAAGAACAAAAACAAACAAAGAACGTTCACAGTTTGCAAGCAAGGTGCTTGCCTGCGGATGTGTGGGTTTCTGACCCGGCTGTGGATGCACAGTACATGGTGTCAGAGAATCGGTGTGAGTTCTCAAGCAGGCCTCCTGAATGCAGCACACAAGCATGTCTGTTGTAGAGCTGGGCTCGTGGCACTACCTTTTTCCTGATGGTTATCCAGAAGTCCTGGCATGGGAAGGTATGTTGACTTCAATCAAGGACAGCTATGATGATTGGCCTGATCCTTGGGTCTTCCTCCTAGGACACGGAGAGCCATGGGAGGAGCATTGCCTTTCAGAGATGCCCTCACTGAGCGCCTGGCACTGATCCAGCCCTCCAGGGAACAGGTGCAAAGGCTCCTAGCTGAGCACCCGCCACACCTGACCCCCGGCATAAGGTAAGCACAGCTCTAAGCATGATGTCTTCTTATCAGCTTGGGCTTGTGATGCTCTCTCCTCCTGAGAGTAAGTTATTTTGGGGTGCCCTTCCGCGTGGCTCTGTTGGTACTTATATCTGCTCTTATCTTACTCTCCGGTCTTGCTCCTGTCTTTCCTCCAATGCACCAGGCTTCTCTGGGGTTTCATAATTTATCTCAATGTGGTGCAATGGTAACCCAAAGCAGAAAAACTCCACTCATTAATTTCTTTCTTTTCCTTTTTTATTCTCTTTCTCCCTGCCTCCCACCTTTTTTTTCTTTCTTTTTTGAGACAGGGTTTCTCTGTGTAGCCCTGGCTGTCCCAGAATTTGCTCTGCACACCAGGCTGGCCTCGATCACTGAAATCTGCCTTTCTCTGCCTGGAACTTAAGGCGTGTGCCACTGCCCAGCTTAAGCACATATGGGATTGGTGGTGCACATTTGTAAATATAGTACTCAGGAAGCTGAGATACGAGGACGTTGAGTTCAGGGCCAACTTGGGCTACCTAATGAGACCTTGTCTCAGAATGAACAGACACACACACAAACTGGGTGTTTGTGGGGCTCATCCTTGTGTGTCAGGTGATCAGAAGTTCAAAATAACCCGCAGACACATGAGCTCCTATTGTAAAAGCAGACAGCAAAACAGACACCCCAACAAAAAACCACCTGGACTACAAATGAAGGGGGTGGCTGAGGCAGGACTGCTGTTGGGAGTTCAAGGCCAGTCTGGCCACACAGCAGGGGTGTGTCATAAAAGCAACAAGCAGCCAAACCAGAGGACAATGAGAAGGGTAAAGCAACAACAACAACCTCACAACAAAGGAACACAAAAGCAGAGAGAGGTGCATGGCTTCAGTATGGCCACTCTGACTGGCTAGAAGTTCAAGAAAATGATTTTATTTAAAGACTTATTTATTTGTTTATTGTGTATACAGTGTTTTGCCTGCATGTACACCTGCAGGCCAGAAGATGACATCAGATCTCATTCTAGATGGTTATAGCCACCATGTGGTTGCTGGGAATCAACTCAGGACCTTTGGAAGAGCAGCCAGTGCTCTTAACCTCTGGGCCATTTCTCCAGCCCCCAACATATAAAATGTTAATCCTATAGTAGAACTGTCCTTATAGACAGACCTCCAGCATTGGATCCAAGAGAAAAAATTGGCATTTTTTTTTCATGTTCTCTTTTTGTATTAATTGATAATTGGTATCTGTGTTTCTTTCTGTAGGGAGCTGGTGAGCCGCCTACAGGAGCGGAATGTCCAGGTGTTCCTCATATCTGGCGGCTTTAGGAGTATCGTGGAGCATGTGGCTGCAAAGCTCAATATCCCAACAAGCAATGTGTTTGCCAATAGGCTGAAATTCTACTTCAATGGTACGGCTTTAATGGTAGTATATCTCTTTGCTTTCCTGTTCTATCATTCAGTGTCCTAGATAGTGTCTGTTGGGATGTAACTTAAATAGTGGGTGGCCCTGGAGTTAAGAGGTACATGAATTCTTCTTCTTCTTCCTCAAAGATTTATTTTTATTTTATGTGCATTGGTGTTTTGCCTGCATGTCTGTCTGTCTGTGTGAGGGTGCTGGATCCTCTAGAACTGGAGTTACAGACAATTGTAAGCTGCTGTGTGGGTGCTGGGAATTGAACCCAGGTCCCCTGGAAGAAGAGCCAGTGCTCTTAACTTCTGAGCCTTCTCTCCAGCCCCACATGAGCTCTTCTTTTAAACACATTTTATGGGGGCTGGAGAAGTGGTCAGGGGTTAAGAGCACTAGCTGCTCTTTCAGAGGACGCTGGTTCAATTCCCAGCACCCATATTGGACAGCCCACCACTACCTGTAACTCCAGTTGCAGGGCATCCGATTCCCTCTTCTGGCCTCTGAACCTACCAGGCGCTCACGTGGTCCACAAAGAAGCATGCAGGTAAAACACTCACGTACCTAAAAATAAATAAATCTTAAAAATAAAACCACATTCAAGAAGGCGTCAGATCTCCTGCAGCTGGAATTATAGGCCACTGTGAGACACCTGACACTGGGTACTGGGAACAGAAGTCAGGTCCTCTGCAGGAGCTGTCTGCACTCCAAATGACTGAGCTCTCCCAGCAGCCCCATGTGAATGGCTCTTTTGATTGAGATCCTTTTTGCTGTGCAAAACAGGCTGAGGTTTTGCAGGCTGAGGCTCTGGCTTGACTTTGCATATGTATGTTGTCACCCATCTGTATATAAACTAAAATGTTAGCCTGTCTGGCTTATTTTGTGATGTTACCATCTTTAAGAAACTGTATCTGGAGCAATGTAGACCCAAGAAGGAGTTTGGTTAGTGAGTTGCTGCATTACCCCTGTGCTGGACACCTGGGGTCACAGCTGCGTTTTTATAGCATCTCAAGAGGGCTCCTGTTATGCTGGACTCGCAGATGCTGAGGCAGGAGGATTTCAAGTTTGAGTCCAGTCTGGGCTACAGAACAAAACTTTGTTTCTAAAATCCAAAACCGGGGCTGGAGAGATGGCTCAGAGTTTAAGAACACTGGCTGCTCTTCCAGAGGTCCTGTGTTTAATTCCCAGCAACCACATGGTGGCTCCCAACCATCTGTAATGAGATCTGGTGTCTTCTGGCATGCAGGTGTACATGCAGATAGAACACTGTATACAGAAAAAATAAAATACTTAAAAAATAAAATCCAAAACCAAGATGAGACTTGGCTTAGCAGTTAAGAGTATATGCCGCTCCTTTGGAGGGCCTGAATTTAGTCTGGATTCCACACCTGCACTCAACATATATAACGTGTGTACACACTGTCTCTCTCTGTCTCTCTCATTCTAAATAAATAATGAAAACCCAGAATAAGTGGCACACAAGAGCACTCTCCAGCTGGGTTGGGCCTGTGGTAGAGTGCCTGCCCAGCCTGCCGGAAGTACTGGGTTGGCACATAAACCAGGCAGGTTGGCTCCCACCAGTGGAAACAGGAAAATCAGGGGTTCATGATCATTTTACGATACACAGTAAGGCCGAGGATAGCCTGGGCTGCATGTAGCCCTATCTCAACAAACTAACTAACAAACGAGCTCTCTAGCTATATCATAGGGTAGCTGGTAGTCTTGAAACCAAGAGGGCCTTTGAGATGGCTCAGCAGATGAAGGCCCTCCCCAAAGAAGCCTGGTTTGAATTCAGTTCCTGGAGCCTCCATAAAGATGGAAGGAGAGGGAGTTGGAGAGGTGGCTCAGAGGTTAAGAGCATTGGCTGCTCTTCCAGAGGTCCTGAGTTCAGTTCCCGGCATCCACATGGTGGCTCATAACCATCTATAATTTGGTGCCCTCTTCTGGCATGCAGGTGTACATGCAGACAGTACATTGTATACGTAATGAATAAATAAAGTCTTAAAAAAAAAAAAAGATGGAAGGAGAGATCTGACTTCCCAGAGCTGTCTGCTGACTCCACGCAGGGGCCATGCATGCTTGTCTCCATCTCACTGACTTAAAAATTCTGAAGCTGGGGAAGGGAATACTCATGGTAATCCCAGCACTGGGAAGTAGAGGCAGGAGGATTAGAATTGAAGATCTTTGGCTACTTAAACTCCATCTTTAAAAATAAAAACAAAACTAACTAGTTTTAATCCCAGCACTTGGGAGGCTGAGGCAGGCAAATTTCTGTGAGTTCTAAGCCAGCCTGGTCTACATAGTGAGTTCCAGGACAGCCATAACTACACAGAGAAACCCTGTCAGAAAGAAACAAAAACAAATAAATAAGTAAAAACAAAACAAATGAAGCCAACAAAAACAAAACAGCGCAAAAAACAAATGAGTGAACCAGGCCTAAGGACACACTCTTAACATTTGGGAGCCCGAAGGAGGATTGCTTCACGTTCTGCATGAGCCTGGCTGCAAAGTGACACCCAGTCTCAAACACACCAAACCAGTCTCAAGCTCCGCTAATGAGTGTGTTAGTTTCCATAAGAACAGAAATAAGTTTGGAGCTTGGGAGAGGATTCAGTTGGTAGAACGCTTGCCTAAACATGCAGGAAGCCCTGGGTCCATACCAAGCACCGAATGAACCAGGCATAAGGCCAGGTGCACACCTGTGATGGCTGTGCTCCATATGTGGAACACTCAGGGTCAGCCTAGGACATGGAAAGTTCAAGGATAGTCTCATTTACGTGAGATCCTATCTCAGAAACAAAAGTGAGAGTAAGTTTGTATTTCCTTTAGGTACTATTAGTGTATTAATGTGACAAATTGATGTATTGTTGAATTATGGTGCTCTGCTATCTCAACAATGTTTAGGATCTCTACAGCAGCTCAGAAGATGCAGCTAATTGAACTCAAGATGATCCACTGAGCTACCTCCTCAGGAATGGGTGTGGGGGAGGTCAGGTCCCATGCCCAGGGCTATTTTAATCTTAATATTTTAAGTTTGGGTATTGTCCGTATGAACAGGCTGGGCTGAGTAAAACTGCTTCCGTGAATCTAATATTTCCTCACTGTTCTCTTCAGGTGAATATGCAGGTTTCGATGAGACACAGCCAACAGCCGAATCTGGTGGGAAAGGAAAGGTTATTCGCTTTTTAAAGGAAAAATTTCACTTTAAGAAAATAATCATGATCGGAGATGGAGCTACGGACATGGAAGCCTGCCCTCCCGCTGTATGTATTTAAGGATGCTTTTTTTTTTTTAAGGTGTTAATTTTTTTTTTCTGGGTCTGCCTGAAAATCATATGAAGTTTACAACAGAAGTTAAACAGGAATAGCTAGATATCATGATAAGAACACAGAGCACCTAAAACACATAAAGACATTCTCTTTAGGAACACTCATGAATAACTGTTTTAGTCACTGTTCTATTGAAAGAACAGTGAAGAGATGCCATGACCAAGGCAACTTGGGAAAGAAAGCATTTAATTGGGGGCTTGCTTACAGTTTCAGAGGGTTAGTGCATTATCATTAGGGCAGGGAGCATGGTGGCAGGCAGGCAGCCATAGCACTAAGAAGTAGCTGAGGCCTATATCTTATCAGCAAGTTGGAGGCAGAGAATGAGACTGAGTGTGTGTGTGTGTGTGTGTGTGTGTGTGTGTGTGTGTGTGTGTGTAGAAGGAATGTCTTGTGTCTGTATGGAAGCATCACCTGTCAATAAAAAAGCTAATGGCTATAACGGAGGCAGGAAATAGAAATTGGGGCATCTGGCAGGCAGAGAGGATTCTGGGATAGAGCCAGGCAGGAGAGAGTCATCTGGCAAGATGTGAAGAGGACAGACACATGGTACCTGAGCATAGGTAACCAGTCATGTGGCAGAATGTAGATGGAATGAATGGGTTATTTTAAGATATTAGATAGTCAGAGAAGAGCCTAGGCTGTATGGCCTAGGTGTTTGCATACTATTTTGAGTCTCATGAGTCTTTATTCTGGGAACTTGGGGGTAGGAAGAAAAACCACATGTGCATATGTGTGTTTTTTAAAGTGTATAGGTAAATTTCCACTTACATATATTTTTTTACTTATTTTTATATATGTTTCTGGGTTTGCCTTTTTTTTTTATATAATTTATTTTATTTTATGTGCATTAGTGTGAAGGTGTCAGATCCCTTGGAATTGGTGGTATAGACAGTTGTGAGCTGCCATATGGGTGCTGAGAATTGAACCCGGGTCCTTTGGAAGAGCAGACAGTACTCTTAACCCCTGAGCCATCTCTCCAGCCCCCTGGGTTTGCCTTTTTAAAGATTTATTTATTTATTATGTATACAGTGTTTTGCCTGCATGTACACTCGCATGCCAGAAGAGGTAACCAGATCTCATTATAGATGGTTGTGAGCCACCATGTGGTAGTGAACTCAGGACCTTTGGTAGAGGTTAAGAGTAACTTCTGAGCCATCTCTGCAGCCATTTTAAGGACGTTAATCCCTCTCCCCTTTCCTTCTTAGGATGCTTTCATTGGATTTGGCGGAAATGTGATCAGGCAGCAAGTAAAGGACAATGCCAAGTGGTATATCACTGACTTTGTTGAGCTCTTGGGAGAACTGGAAGAATAATCTCATCTTCTGCTCACTCAGAACAACTCCCCTTCTCGAAGCTACACAGTCAGACTCCTGGTAGAGTCTAGGAGATAGCTATTTTTTCTACTGTACCAATATTAATATGACTACTAATTACCTGGAGAGTTTTATAGTCTGAATTCTTTGTGTATATTCCTGCGTATATTTTACCTGGAATTCTTTCTGAGATGCATAGTAAACTAAATGCTTTTACTCTTGCAACATGGATTCAATAGCCTTAAGTGAATATTGAGTTTCTCTTTGGTATATAAAGAATGCTTGTGCGAGGTGGTGGTGACACCAGCCTTTAATTGGGAGGCAGAGGCTGGCCTGGTCTACAGAGTGAGTTCCAGGACATCCAAGACTACATAGAGAAACCTTGTCTCAAAAAACCAAAAATATAAATAATTCGATAGGTAGATAGATACATAAGTACATAAATGAATTAATGAGAAAAAGTTTGTTTATTAGAACAGGCTTGTTCAGTATTTTTTCTTTTTTCTTTTTTGAGACAGGTCTCACTAGGTAGCCTAGCTGGCCTTGAACTCTGAGATCCTCCTGCTTCCCACATGCTGGATTAAAGGTGGATATCATCCTACGGCCAGCTGATTTGGTCAATTTTCAATTCTGCCTCTTAGGAATTTCTGTGTCTAGTGTTTTAGCAACTCTAAGTGTGCAAGTACAAACAACCCTCATGTTAAAAAGAGAGTTGATGTTTCTCTGTTCATAGCAGTGAGTGCTGTGCCCCTGTCCCTACCTCATTACAGGAAACACTGGCACATAGTATGGGAAATCCTTTTTTCACCTGACTTTGTTTTATGTGGCTGACTATGGGGGTACACATATGTAATCCCAGCACCTGGAAGGCTGAGGCAGGAGGATGGGGAGTTCCAGGCCAACCACAGTCTCTAGAAAAATAATAAGAAGAAAAGATATGTTGTATCTTATCATGTATTTATTTATTTAGGTTTTTGTTTTGTTTTTTGTTTTTTCGAGACAGGGTTTCTGGACTTGCTTTGTAGACCAGGCTGTCCTGAAACTCACAGAGATCTACCTGCCTCTGCCTCCTGAGTGCTGGGATTAAAGGCATTTGCTGTTCTTTTTGTTATTGTGGTTTGGTTTTGTTTTTTGAGACAGGGTTTCCCTGTGTAGTCTTGGCTGTCCTGGAACTTACTCTGTAGACCAGTCTGGCCTTGATCCGACTGTCTGTGCTTCCCAAGTGCTGGGATCAAAGGTGTGTACCACCACTGTCCAGTGCTGCTCTTATAAAAGACCTGAGTTGAATTTCCAGCACCCATAGCTAGTGGTTTATAACTAACTGTCTGTGATTCCAGCTCTGGGGGATCTGATGTCTCTGACCTCTTTGGGCACATGCATTCATGTGTATATACCTACCTGCAGAAACACACATACACACAGTTGAAAATAATAAAAACAAACATTGAAAAAAGTAGCAGTAGAGGACTGGTCTTAAAAGTTGTTGATACTGGCCAGAAGTAGTAGCTCCTGTCTGTAATCCCAGCATGCAGGAGACAGGGTCAGGTGGATCGTTGCCACATTTGAGACCAACCTTGTCTATTCTTTTTTTTTTTTTCTGCAAGATTCTGCTCTGCTACAAGTTTGTTTGTTTGTTTGTTTTTTTAAAGATTTGTTTATTTATTATGTATACAATGCTCTGCCTGCATGTATGCCTGCACACCAAAAGAGGGTACCAGATCTCATTACAGATGGTTGTGAACCGCCATGTGGTTGCTGGGAATTGAACTCAGGACCTTTGGAAGAGCAGCCAGTGCTCTTAACCTCTGAGACATCTCTCTAGCCCCCCCCACCACCTTGCCTGTTCTATAACCAGAGCCACAAAGCAAGATTGTCTCAAAAACAAACAAACAAACAAAACCACCACCACCAACAACAAAAAACTAGGGGGCTGAAGAGATAGCTTGTGGTTAAGAGCACTGGCTGCTTTTCTAGAGGTCATGAGTTCAATTCCCAGCTACCACATGGTGGCTCACAACCATTGGTTCCCTCTTCTGGTGTGCAGGTGTACATTCAGGCATAACACTGTATACAGAATAAATAAATCTTAAAAAAAAAGAGGAAATAAGAACATATTTGAAAGTTACATCAAACATATAAGGTTTACAAATCAAGAAGGGAGAAGAACATTTTCCTAATAATAACACAGTTCTTGGGCCCAAGAGATGGTTCAGCGGGTGAAAGTGCTTGCTGAGAAATTCTGGCCATTTTAATGTTTAATCCCTGGAACTCACAATAGAGAGGACAAAAGTTGTCCTCTAACCTCTACATGTGTGCCTTGGCATATGTGTACCTGGTACCTAAACCACACACACCCACATACACACATACATACACGCATGCACTCACTTGTACACACACACAGATGCATGCTTGTGAACACACACATGCATGCACAAACACCTGCATACACCTAGAGGCATGCACACACACAGAGTTCTTTATCACAGATGGCTTGGGAAGAAAGACCTGAAAGGTCCGTGTTTATATGAAGAAATATTAGGAGACAGACATCTCAGAAGTTGCCTAGAAAGTATGAGATAGTTCACCCTCCTTGCTGAAAAGATGGGTGGAAGGAAGGACATGGCGTGGGAAGGCACATGGGGTAGCCATTAGTGGTTCGTTTGTTTTTGTTTGTTTTCTCTCATTAGTGCTAGGACGGGAGCCCAGAGATTTGTTGTTGTTTTGAGACAGGGTAGCCTGAATCACTGTAGCGCTGGCTGACCTGGAACTCTGTAGTCTAGGCTGGCCTTGAATTTGGAGATCCACCTGTGTCTGCCTCCCATGCGCTGGGATTAAAGACATGTACCACCGCTGCCCTGAGGGTGACCTTAACCTGCTGCTCAGCCTGCCTGAGTGCCGGGGTCACAGGCGTGCCGTGCTGAGGGCAATGCAAGGCTTCATGACAAGCGCTCTACCAACTGAGCCCCAGCTCCAGGCTCGGCCTCCATGGCCTGACGTTTAACCACTGTTAAGTTATTTGAAAAACCTATAAGTTAGCCAAATTACAAATCATTTGAGGGTGGCTGGGCATGGTGGCACATGCCTGGAAACTTTACCACTCAAGAATCTGAGGCAGGAGGACCATAATTTCTCAGTTTCTCAGGCCAGGTCAGCCTGAGCTATAATGAAGATCTGGCAAAAAGAAAGAAAGAAAGAAAGAAAGAAAGAAAGAAAGAAAGAAAGAA